TGAGACTGGTCAACTAGTCAAACCAGCAAAATTTGTTGAACTGCCCAAATTGCACAATCTTTCTTAGATGGATGAACTAGTCCAAACGGTCAAATTAGCTTAACTGGTTCAACTAGCATAAGTAGCTTGATAGGTTTAAGTGCACAAGCTTCACAATCTAGTGTAATCAGCCGAAGTCGTTTAAATGGTCAAACTGGCTTAGATGGTTAATCCAGACAAAATGCATATCTACCTTAAATCTTTCAACTGGTTGAATATTTAAACAATGGAAGGCAGTGAAACTGCAATATCTATCACAACTGGTTGATAAAGTTCAAATTACTCATATCTAAAGCTTTACAGGTTCACCTGGTTAAATACTCGAGCAAGTGAGGACAGTTAAACTTCACAACTTGCACAATCTAACTTCATTGGCTAAAATCATTCAAATGATTGAACCAAAAATAAATTGTTCAATGGGACAAAATGCGTAAGTACCTAAATTGGTTCAATTCCATAATTTTATAATGTACTTTAACTTGTCTAAGAAGTTTAAGAAGTCAGTTTAGCTTAATTGGCTCAACTGGTTAAATAGTAAAATAGGTGAAAACATTTAAATTGCGCAAATTGCAAAATGTATCTTGATTGATTAAAGAATTTCAAAATGGTGAAACTAGCTTTTTATATTAGCTTTCATAGTTGAACCACACAAAACGCATAGCCTTAATAGTACAATTGGAAAGCCTCCAAAATTTAGGCTAAATTGGTTCAAGTTAAACTATTCAAGTAACCTTAATAGGTTCCACTTGGTTAGTAGTGAAATAAGCGAACACAGTTAAGCTCGAAAAATGCACAAACTATCTTAATTTCTTGAGGTAGTTTAAATGGTCAAACTAGTTTCAGTTGTCCAACTGAAAAGACTGCACGATCTAACTGCATTAGTAAAATTAGTATTGAGTTTAGCAAAAATATGCCTTTAAGTCTAAGTAGGTGTTTGAGCAACTCTAACGTTATGGCTATTCTAAATTCTCTTGATGGGTTTCGTAACACCTTGAATGTGAGGAAGAACATGAAAACCAGTCACTGCTTTCTTTTCATCAGGAATGTTAATAGTTGTAACTGGTTTCAGGAAGTTACGAAGAATAGCCATTTACCGTTAGGACATTAGAAACATATCTTTGCTCCTCAGCCTTCGAGTCAAGTATAGATGGTTGACAATCAGCCCTGCTGAGTAATGTTTCAGTCTATTTATGATAAATTCTCCTGTTCCACTCTGCACTCAATTTAAATAAAGAAAAGGCACATGTCTATCCTTTTCATGCTTAAGCGTAAATTAGATAGATGGGTCTATGGATTTAATACGATGAAGGCGTTCCACTTCACTTCTGCATACCGCAGAAATAGCATCATTGATATATCGTTTTCAGAAAAAGGGTTTAGCGGTAAAGTGGCAAGGCCCTTTTTTCGCGTCTTCTATAACTATATTGGCAATGACAGCAGAGACGAGTGAACCCATTGCTTTACCAAAACCTGTTGGTTTTGAAGCAAAAAGATAGTATATGAATAATATTCTCCGTAGGAAAAGGACTTCTTTCTTCTCTGAGTCTCTTCACTGCAACTTTAAGTTTAAATGCTTAAATTGGACAAAATACATAAGTACCTCGATAGCTTTTACTGCAAAAACTACACAATGTACCCTAATTGGCTAAAGTAGTCAAAACAGTCAAACCAAACTAATCTAATTGTTTCAACTAGTTAAAAGTCGAAGCTAGCGAAGATAGTTAAATTGCACAAATTGCACAATCTATCTCAAGGGGAGGAAGTTATTTAAATGATTAAACTGGCTTTGATTCTCCCGCGGGAGTAAATGCATAACAAGCTTAAATGGCTTAGTGGGTTAAATAGTAGAGCTAGAAATGACAGTTTATCTCGGTCTCAACTGGTTGAAGTGGTTCGATTGGTCCAACTAGCTTCGATGCTTTGGATGGATAACATGCGCAACTAGCTTTACAGGTTCAACTGGTGAAATGCGTAAAGTAGTTAAAACAGTAAAACTGCACTGATTGGTTAAAGTAGTTGAAGCGCTTCAACTAGCTTCAATGTTTAACTAGCTTCAATGGTCCAACTGTACGTTCTAGTTTAATTTAATGTTGGGCACTTAAAAATGCTTAAGTATCTAAAATGGCAAAACCGAAGAAACTGAACTGGGCTTGTCTGGGCTTGGGCACCGAAACCATAGGAGATACCCAGAGAGTGGGTCCATTAGCCGGCTCAATGATATCCTGTTGCAGCAGAGATTCAACACAAGCTTCAAGATCTTTAGTTGATGGAATGGGATGTGTCTCTGCGATTGATGCATAGGTTTCACATTTTAATTGATATGCAATTTGACCTGAACATTCTTCATCTTTCCAAGGCCACTGAAAAGACTTGGGTAATTTTGTAACACTCTCCTTTCCACAGACGCAGCATTTGCAATTTGCAGTATTCCAAGGTCTGGAGCAGCTGCATATCCAAGAACGAGAACTTAACGGAAACATGTATTCATCATGTGAACTCGATGGCGGTGAGCGTGGTTTTTATTTTTTGTTCACTCAGCTAATGGTTTGGGGGGGCTTGGAATTTCAACCTCTCTGCTTCCTGTTTCCTTTTTGATGTGTTCCGCCTCTGCCATAAGACTGAGCCCTTTGAAGCCAACAAGGCTTTAAGTGTGATGGTCCAATCCCTCAATTTTAATTTCCTTGTCAACGTTAGTAAATTCACATGCAGCTGCGAACTGTTGCAGGTGAGATTGATACATATTCATGGTTTCAACTGGGTATCCCCTCGCTTGCCTAACTGTGAAAATCTCAAATTCCACACTCTTCTTTGGGTCAAAGTGTAATGCAATGTGTTGTTGTTTATTAAAAAGTGCCACTTGCAGCTGGAGGGCTGAATTGCTTGTACACAAAGTAATAATTTTAAAAAAATTAATAAATATATATTGAATAATATTGAAAACGTGAATTACAAAATTGGATTTAATCTATGTGATCTAAATATGTGCTATAAAAAAGGGCATTATATCTCTAAGTCTATTGGAAAATATAGTTCATAATTTATATATCAGGATTTTTTATAAACTCCAACTGAAGACAGGATAAAGGTGTTCGTAAACCTTTGCTCTTGGGGGACAAAGACTCGAGTCTGTCTAAGATTATGTCTTGGGTGTGTCTCTGTGGTAGATGTCCAAGGTTGTAACTGGGTGCAGTAACATTGACATTGGATAATATGTCACATGCCAGACATAGTTTGAAGCTTCACTGGTTTGCAGATTTAATGAATGTAACCGAAGAAGTTACAATTCATAG